CTTTTCACCCGCTAATAATATTCCCGTCCATACCAACCTACCATACCTTGAATCAATCTCCAGCTGATTCTGTGGCCTGGGTAATGAAGTCGACTCTCCCTTTCTGTAGCCTCTTATCCTGTCTTATCAGCCGCCAGGACAAGAATCCCACTTAGATCCCAGTTTGTACCTGCCGAGTTAACTCCAACACCACGCCCTCATCCGCACAGCTGATTCCCCGATAAGAACTCTACGACCGTACAAGTGACGATTTTCATGCTTTTTCGTCCTGCAGCCTCGTTTTTCACTGAAAGGTGGGCCTTGAAGGCGGAGTCTGGAGGCGGAGTCACTGGAAAAAAGGAGGCGTCACTGAACCTATATTGCGCTATAGCGCCCCTCCCTTACAATTTTTTGCCTGCGAAACCGGTACAAGGTTGTTCGTCGCGGACCACACTACCCTCCCGACGCCATATTTTCAACTTCTATACCTGATCGCGGACCGTGCCTTTAACGACTATCACATATTGTTTGATGACAAATGTAGGAATTGTCTATCGAGCCTCCGCAGGACTTTTACGGTTCACGAAAAGATCAGCCGCGAGAAGGGAGCGCTCTTTGGCCGCATATAATAGAGATATGAAAACAGAAAAAGAGGCAACGTACACAATATCTCCTGCTTCAAGTTGCAAGTCTGCAGCTGGATTGATTATGACGAAGGAGATCTTATTACTGTTTTCCACCGCATCCCTGCTATCGAGAGCTAAAAAGTTTTCGAAGTAATTGAAAGAATACTAGAGTGGATTTCAGCGAAAAATATTAAAAGCATAAGTCCCAGCATTTCCATTCAGTCAGGAAAGCGTGCGTTTTGTTTTCAATCTTTTGCGTAATTTAGTCCATCTATGGTGCGGCTCAGTTTCATTAAACACTCACTTTCTGCATCATCTGTTATTCCCAAGTTTCTCATTCTCGTTCTGATATGATTCAGCATTTCCTTCCTTCGCTCGACAGCCATTTCGAGCTGTGAAGCATCCACTAAGTGACACCTTTCCTCCATTTCATGAGAGACCTGAATACACACATACTGAATGCAAGCGATCAGCGGAAATATCAAAGGAATATTACCGTCTTACTGTCCATATTCTTCGTTCTGAATATTCCTAGAGGAATATTAGCGCCCGATGAACATAATCTCTTATAGAGTTGTCCATATGTCTTGATCCAAAGATCTTCAGATGTGACCACCACCTGGAATACTGCGCATCTGATAACATACGACTTCCTGTTTTTAGGTGTTACTCACAACGTGATAAAAAAACAATATTTTCATTGCATTTTCAGATACTTACGAAATAAGTCCCCCCACAAATCCTATCCGCAGCCTCATCGTGGCGTGGGGGTGAACGGTTTC